GGGGGGGGGGGGGGGGGGGGGGGGGGGGGGGGGGGGGGGGGGGGGGCGGTTGGAAAGGAAGACAAATGGAGTAGGAGTTTGGTTATAAAAGTGTTTCCCCCTCAAGAACCCAGGAGAGTCATTGAGGTGTGTGCCAACAATCTAGTGATTCTCAGCTCCTAATTCGTCTTTGTTCTGAGGTGTGGTATTTGGGGCTGGAACATGTAAACATTGCTTTGTTCTCAGTTGGCCCAATGCCAGGACTTGTCAGCAAAAGGTACTGGAGGGACGCTGCATAAAAAGGGGGGGGGGCTCATCTTTCTTCTTGCTCTTATGATGTGGTCAGTGGGTGGCTTTCTGGCCAGTGGTGTGCAAGAGATCAGTGTTTCACACCGTTAGCTAAGTTGGCTGATTCCCCAGTGTGTGGCTTCCCAGTAAGCTGTGCTGGCTTCCCAGCAGGTGGGTTCCTAATAAGTTTCACTGGCACCGCAGCTGGTGATTTCCTCACCAGCCCAGTCTGTGACACCTAGTGAACTGCATTGCCATAGGTTGGGCCACAGCCACATTATCTCCAATAAGGTCTGTGTCCCTGGCTTGGTAGCATAGAGGACAAGGATGGAAGAATGGTTCCTCTAAGTTATTGCCTACTTTCCCACAGCCCCAGAAGTACTGGCTGCTCCCTAAACCACTCCTCCTGTATTCATCAGTAATCTCCTCAGTTAGCAGTCACTCTCCTTTTACTAGTTAATACTTCTTTATATTAGCTTTTCCCTTTCAGTGGTGGTGTTATTTCTGTCTCCTGCCTGGATCTTGACTGCTACAGGTGTAAAGGGATCATGTAGAACCCCGAGGAGAGCACCATCTAGGGACTCAGAAATTGGGATCCTGCCTTTAGCGGTATAACCTTGATTAAATCACAAAGCCTCTCAGAACTTGCTCCCTCATCTGTAAAAAGGTGGTAATATATGTGACAAGGTTGTGTGAGCATCATGTAAAATTTAAATGCACTGAAATCTGGTAGTAAAAAAGAAAATGGGGATATTTTCTTTAAGAAATACATGTATTCTGAGGACTTATTAGGTTGTTTCCTAGGAGTGAAAAAAACAGCATTTTCTGTCAGATATATTATCATCAAATAAATATAGTATTTGTTGGTCCGTTGACTTCGCTAACTTTTCAGAGATGAAAGCAAATAGTTGTGAGTACTAGGTTGTTCCGGTTTACAGCACTATGAAAAATGACTGAAATAACAATCATTTTGAAATGCTAGATTCAGACTAATTTGATTATCTTCTCTTCTGGAATTCTTCACAGTTGCCTTATTTCTTCTTGTCTGCTTTACCCTTTCCGAGTTTGATGCCTGTGTCAAATAATTTTTTCATTTCTGACACTCTGCGTGTAGAACATGACACTAGATATTGCATGCTATTCAAAAATAGTTTGGAAATCTTAAAGGCTGAAGAAAGATAAGCAATCCTATCACCTTGCACATTCTCTGGCACAATGTAAATTCTCAGGAGAATTCTACCTAATAACAGATATATCCTAAGTGATAGCATATAAAATTTCAATATATGACTGCCACCTTAATATGAATTTTTGTCTTTAGTAATTTAACGATAATCTCTTTATGCCCATACTAATGTCTTCAGGGGATGTAATGCAGAAGAACACATACTGATGAAGAAAAAACAGAAAACGTGCTTAGCGGTGAGACTGAGGTTGAGAAAAGAAGCCAGATTCTTCAAGAGCTTGGGACAGGGTCTGAGAGGTGATATTGGTGGTGATGATGTTAGTGGAGAGTAAACTTGACACACTCCATGGTTTGTCTGTGGCCATTCCCATTATTAAACCTCCTTTCACTTCTGCTTCAGTATTCACACACAAAAATACCAATCCATATTTATAAGGTAGATTTATTTAGCATAATACCAAGCTTTTCAGACTTTTCTATCAAAATATCTCTAACAAATTATATTCTTACCCACTCCCAGCCAAGAGTAATCTTATTTGAAATCCCCACTTTTACCTAAAAATTCATAGAAATTTTTGCTCTAAAATAGATTTATATTTATATGGATATAAAATATGATTTTCCCCCAAAATTTTGCCTGAAAGATGTTCCAGAAGGATTTGCTGTGTTTATCTGTTGGTTTCATAGCCCAGCCTGGTGACTCCATGGGTGTCTATAGCTTCGGGACTAGATTTGCAAGCCCAAGTCCTAGAAAGAGAATTTGGGCTACAAAGATAGATGTGTCTGCAAACTTTGAGACCTTGGCTCTTCAGCCTTACCCAACACTGTGCAAAATATGAGAAGAGAAAAACACTGAACTCTGGTTTATAAAATCTTTTACTAGGCAGAGAAGAGAAGAAAGATCAGTGGGAAAAAAAAAAAAAGATTGTAGTCTAAGGAGAGGATTGAATGTTGAGAAATCAAGGTTCTTGAAGTTAGTGAGAGGAAGGTTTAGGGCTTAGATGCCTTCAAACACTTGCACAGAACTGCATATTCCATTGGCATTTTATCTAATTACGTTATAGTACTAATTCTCCTTACGTGAAAAGTTCAAATATTTTGATAATGGTAACTTTTAGATTTATGTCAATTAAATTTGCATGGGAGAGCCAGATCTGTCTCTTTTTATTCTAGAATTAATGGTCATTGATTGTGCTTCTGCATTTCATAGTACCGTCCTATTATTTTTCAGTGTCGTTATATGATTGGGATAGAATTTATGGTAATGTCTCCACAATGCAGGAACTTCCTTTCAAACAATGTCAGTTACCTAGTGCAAAAGTGTCAATTTGTCCACTGTGCAAAAAGATGTGGGAACTGGCAAATTTTGACTACGTAAGTCTATGACGATATTAGATCATTGTAGTTGCTAGAAAGTTCTGAATGATGTGAGTTTTGTCCTTATAAAGCACCTTTTTGTGTGAAGTTCCTGGACCATTTATAGGATATACAAATTGGGAACAGAGAACTGCAAAAACATTTAAATAATTGTTTCACCTTAACTACACAGTTCACAAATGGAGAAATTTGACCAGTTCAATAAATGAAAACATGATAATATTTTTATTGTGCCGTAACTTTACAAAGTAATTACAATATTTTTGGTAAAATATAATGGGTACTTAAGTAAAAACTCTTGATACTTTAGCTACCTATTCAACATATGCACAAAACACCGTAGGCTAATGCTGTATTTGGACCTGGAAATGTATACCTTTTCATATAGTGCTATACAGGGATACTTCTTAAATGTCAGTATCTGAATTTATCTTTCTTTTTGTTTTGCTTTTTACTTATTCTGTGCCTGTCAGTCTTTTATCATCAGTTCACATTCTACTAAACTCAAAAAGATATTTTCATACCTTTTTATACTTTTAGGCCCTCCTTACTAGATTTTTTAAAACACTTCAGAAATTCAGGTACCTCAATTTCATGCCATCAAGTAGCTATATCTGTCTCCCACTTTTTCTTATTAAAGTGAGTAGTTCAATTTCTGTCACTTTCTGCTTCGTGTCTATAAGTCTTTTAAAACCATTTTACCATTTTTTCATGCTTTCATCCTTACAGTAAACTTTATCTATAAAACACTCTTTTCTGCTTTTTTCATATTATTATTCCTTTTCTTTTCCAAATACACATCTCAATTTATCCTTTTTCCCCTCTATAGATCACCTTAGGATATGTATTCAGTTTCCCATCAATTCGCATCATAAATTTTAAAATAAACTTAAAACATCCTACATGGATTTTTAATATTTCTACTGCCCATATTTTAATCTTGCCTGTTTTTTTTTTTTTTTTTA